CTCCTACCAATCTTATGTTCTTTTGCATCAGTCTAGCAGCTGCTGGATTGATTTCTCATGATCCCTTACTATTTTTAAGAAATGTCTGTTTTCATGGTCGTTAACTGCCACCCTGTCTTCTATATCTGATATTCTATCTTCAGATTCCCTTAATCTGCTGTGGATACTGTTTCTGTTGTAGAGCCTCTAATCATGTCCTCACTCTGCTCACCATCTCTGTAGATATCTGGGAGGTTTCTGCTTTGAATTTTTCTAGAGCCTCATTCATCTGTTTTGTTACCTCTGTGCTATCAGTTCAGGGTGTCCAGGTTTCCCCCAGAGTTTACCCTTGGTGGGGTGGAAGTCTGAGTTTGTGCCTTGCTTAAATGTCTTCTCATTTTTGTTTTTGGTGCTGTCCTTGGTTTAACTCCTGGGTTGATACTTCGAAATTGCTCATTGTAAGTATCTTTGTTGCTTGTAATTAGAACCCCTATGGAAGGATTGCGTCTCTGGTGTCTTCCAGGTGTAGCTGGTCTTTAGGTTTTGAGTCTCTAATGACTCTGAGGCTATCTCATTTTCATTCTACCAGGAAGGACCACTGTAACAACACCATAGCCCAAGTGATACAGTCAGCAACGCCACAGCATCAAGTACATCTTAGAAAATGAGAATTTGTGGTAGTTATTAATCTATCACCTTTAGCTGTGAATTAAATCAAAATCGAGGACCAACCCAACATACGTTTATAGTGAATAAACTCTTCAGTATAGCAACTTTACCCTTTGGGATGGGGAGTTAGAAGGATTTCGGGAGGGAGGGATAAATAGGTAGAAGGATGAAGAAGGTTAGCAGTGAGGCCAGAGGACTCAGGCGAGAAGGAAAAAGAGAGTAATAGAATAATAGAAATAATAGAAAAATAAAGAATGAGGGCTAGAACAGGAACAAAAAGGGAGATGAACAATGTGGGACAGCAAGAGAGTGAGTGTGAGAGAAAGGAAAGAGAAAAGAAAAAAAATGGAGAGAAAAGCAAATTTGCAAAGAGTCGGAAAAAATATTAAAGATAAGAGGAGAAAAAAAACCAATAATACTAATTTTGGAAAAAAAAAATGAAAATGAAGGGCCTCCTTCAGGGTATGTCTGCTGTCACAAGAGACAACGTGGGTAGCAGTGGGCAGATATAAGTCAGTGAGTCTCAGCAAGCCAGTCAGACCCTTTGGATTCAGGCAGATTTCTGGCTGCAAGTCCCAAGTGGAGCTCCCTGCCCTCCTCTAGGGTTGAACTCTGCAGAGTTGTACTGCAGGTTCCAGCTGCCCTTCCGGGAACTGAAGATAATCTCGGTTCGGATGGGAGGTGATAATCCGTCCAGCTTACCCAGTGTGGTGGTCTGGTGGTCCGGTGTCCCCTGTGTCTTTGTAGTGTGGAATCAGGTAGCAGTACAGCCAAGAGGCCAGAGGAGTTGGGGGGGGGGTTCCTGCAGGCTCTGCTGGATGGGGGGGTCCCTGCAACCAGGGACCCCTCTGCGGCATCCGCAGATGTGCCTGGCTGGCACGGGCTGGATGGGGTGGGTTTCCTGTGATGTGATCAACTATTTCTGACCCGAGACTCCGAGAAGTAAAAAAGGAGTTTAGTGCCTTGTGTGAAGAGTGATGGGTGGAAACAAGGTCGCTTCGGTGCTCAGAACGGTGGCGGCTTAGTGAAGAGCACCAGGAGGGGCCTGGGAGGCAGATCTAGGAGGCCCATGCATTCCGGGCCGCTGTCCAGCACGCCACTTCCCAGTGAGGCCAGGCCCAGGGGCAGCCCGGACCCTGGGCAGAACCAGCCCAAAGAAGCCTCCAGAACTTACCAGACCCCCCTGCTGTGCTACTAGCAACAGGAAGCAAACTAGAAAGCATCACCCCAAACGTCTCAAATGAAAATGTATATCTGTCTGGGAAATGTTTTCAGTTTGAGAAAATTTCCTTGATGTTGTTGCAATCACTTAAATTTGAAAAAAATCTCTGTGAATCTGTAAAAGCTACAGCACGAAAAATTTGTCGATTTGTACAACAAGCAAAAGGAACAAGCTTCATTCTGTTTTTCGCTGAGGACCTGGGTCACAGGAACCCCAGGCCTTCAGGATTCTTGCAATCGGGGTTCAGGACACAGAGAAGCCAAGGACAGGCTGGCCCCCTTTTCCTGTCAAAAGGCTCTTTATTTGTTTAAATTTTCTGAATCAGATTCACAGACCAGTAACAAATAGCCCCCAAAGACAGATTCTCCACCCCAAAATGGAGAAACAGTGTATAATTTTCTGGCCCTTTCTGAAAAAATTAACTCTTTCGCAACCCCCAGGAAAGAAATTGCTGTCACAGACAAAATACTTCTATTGACACATTGAAGCCATTTAAAATGGCAACTGTGTCTAAATTGGCAACTGTGTCTAAATCGCTGTCCTGAAATCTCATTTGGAGCCACCACTTCTTAGGAGCAGTCTTAAGCACAGGCAGGATTTGAAAGCGTCATCCGTTGTAATTTTGCCCTTGACACTTCAAAAAATGTCCAAAATTACTATGTGGAATGGATTGCAAAAGAGAGTAATGTGTTAAATATTACAAGTTTTATGCCTGGAAAACTAGGCAGGGCAGCATATAAAATGCACGCAGCCTGCACAGCTTATTTGGTGGATTATCTGACTGTACACATGCATGGGGATGGAAATTGCTCAATATATGAATTGGTTTTACAGATTTTTTGTTGTTGTTACCGGGGATCAAACTCAGGACCTTGCACTTGTGAGGCAGCACTTGTGAGGCAGGCGGTGGCACCACTGAGTTAAATCCCCAGTCCAAGATTTTATTGTTTTAAATTGTATTTTGATCCACTCTAGGTTTGCTTGTGTACTTTTAATTTTTGTAAAGTAGTCGTGCCCCAATTTTGAAGGGCAGTGGCGGGCACACTGAGTTTCCATGATTCTTGAAGCTCTTTGGCAGTGTGATGATGTTTAGGGGGGACTGGTCTGCCCGGGAGTCTCCAGGGAACACAAGATTTGAGCCAAGCATAGAATGCAGAATTTCCTAGCATTCATATTGAAACCAGCAAGAAATGAAATTGATTTAATGGTGTATTTTATTTTGCCCAATATATCCAATAGTATTATTTTAGCCTGTGATAGGTATATTTAGAAACAGATAATTTTGCACTTTTCACACCACCTCTCTGAAATCCAGTGCTCATTGCTCTGCTGTCCCCTCCTGGCGGGAACCAGCCCCATGTCCAGGCCCAGGGGTCACCAGGACAGGCCCGCGGAGCCTCTCAACCTCAGAGGGACAGCAGGCATCACTGTCGCTTTCTTTGTCAAATGAATTCAGACTTCTTCAATTTGAATTTTACGTGATGCACATGTAAAAGTTATTTTTTAAAAACAGCACCTCCAGTGATTGTCTGGTTTTGTTTTCGGTACCGGGGATTGCTGCGTGTGCAGCAGGCGGTGAAACCACTGAGCTAAATCCCTGGCCCGTCTTGTTCTGAGTGAGACAAGGCCTCTTGGTATACAGTGAGTTTAAGCCCAGATGAAACTATATAGTGAGACTCTGCCTCACAAATATTAATTTTTTCTCTTATAACTACAGTATTCCAATATAGGATCTGTTGCTTTTTTTTTTTTTTTTTGTACCGGGGATCGAACTTGGGTCCTTGTGCTTGCTCAGCAGGCAGCGAAACCGCTGGGTTAAATCCCCGGCCTTGTTGCTTTTATATAATAAGGCTGTACTTGCGTTGTTGCTACTTTCCTGGGTGCTCAACTGCTCTGAGATTCTCTGGATTCTTGGTGTACCAGTACACTCTTCTTACCTTCAAACAATAATTTTAGTGTTGCTTTTTAATGCTCCTGTCTTGTTCTTCCTCTGCTTTTCATTTGTCTTGTTTAATAAGCAGTGGCTATTTTTAATAGTTTTGTTTTTGGCGAAAGTGGAAAATGTAGTCTTTCCCTGTTTACATCCCTAAAATAAATGTAACCAGAAAGACTGTGGGAAAATAATGACTGTATTTCAAATGGGAAACGAGGTCTGTTCTTAGGGAAGTCCGCAGGCCGGTGAGAGAATAAAGCACAGCTGAGCGGGTTGTTTAGCAATAGGCCACCTTCAGGTTACAGGAAGCAGCATGGATGGAAGCGAGTAATTCTCTCGGAGAATCAAAGACAGAATCCCAAGAAAACCCAGAGAGCTGAGCTTGGCATGGAAGCCCATGCCTAAACCCTAACATTCTGGGAGGCTGAGGCAGGGGAATCATAATTTCCAGGTCGGATGAGGCAACCTAGTCAGGCCCCTAGTCAAGCAAAAGGGCCGAGCATGTAGCTGTGGTAGAGCAAGCTCCTGCCTGGCATGCACCAGGCCCTGGGTTTGATCCTCAGGAATGGTCGAAGCAGGAAGACCTGGAGATGCTTTACAGGTTCGGGCTTTCCTCAGCTGTTACTGTGGGTTATGAGCCTTGAGAGGGAGCAGGAGGGAGGGACGGAACAGTGGCCAGTGAGTGGGCTTGAACATGGGAGACAAGGGCACGGGGACAGGAGGGTGACAGTGGAAGGCTTGCGGGAAGGCCCAGCGGGGAGAGGGGAGAGAACCGTGAAAAGAGTGACTTGTCAACTGGGACAGATGGGGAGGACCCGAGCTGTGACACCGCAGGGCCGAGGGTCCAGGGAGAATCAAGGCAGAAGAGATCGAACCAGGCAAGGGTCCAGATGAGTGAGGTCCACAGGAAACGGAAAGGCAGCATTTCCGGCTCTTTGCATGTGCACGGAAGGAATTATTATTGGAAGAAGTTGGCAGTCAGTGCTAATCCAGTCTGAGTTCCCACATCAGCGGGTGTCCGGGGTCACAGTGGCTCTCCTTGGCCATGAGCATTTGAGAATCGCCACTGCGGGTAGCGAAGACCGCACAGTCCCACCGAGCTGCGTGTGGCTGTTCCCGTGCACTCACGCAGCAGGCTCTGAGGCGCATCACGGGTAGCTGTGTGTTCACGCCTTGTCTTTGTTTCCCCGCCCCTAGGATTCACGCGCGCAGGCAGCTGGTGGATGGCCCCACCGCAAGCCTGATGGAACAGGACAGAAGCAGCCATGCGGCCGGCAGCACACTTGGTCCGTTCCTGGTCCCAGCGCCTGCTCCTCCCTGCCAGCCTGAGCCTCTGGCGGCCAAATTGCAGAACGGAAGCCCGGTCCCTGAAGTGAATGGAGACACCAAGTGGCAGGCCCTCAAGAACTGGCCCGGGGTCCCCCCGAGCAGCTGCGCCAGTCCCGACTTCCTCCACGAGGGCAGAAGCTTTTCCTGTTGTCTGGAAAACGGGGGGATAAAGCGCACCGTCAGCGAGCCATCCGTCTCGGGCTTCCAGCAGAACAAGAAGCTGAGGCAAGACCAGAAGGCCGATGGAGAGAGAAAGAGCCTCAGGGAAATCCGGGAGAGGAACCCGAGAGGAAGCAGTGGCCGGCCAGACCCCACCGATGTGGGTGAGAACAGGGAACCCGAGAGCTCCGGAGCCCCAGAAGATGCAGTCGAAGATGCCGCCACTTTTCCAACACACAACTGCAGTGGGCTGGGAAAGCCAGAGCTTCAGGCTCCGCGTGAGCAGGAGCCGAAGGATGCTCAGTACCAAGATGAGAACCCTGCATTACTTCTGAAGAACAAGGCCGCCCTCGTGCCCAATGGTGCTACAGATTCTGCCTCTTCCCTGGAAAACACAGGCGGTGAAGTCCTGGACAAAGCCCCGTCCCGGTGCCATCCGGATTGTGTCTCCAGCGCACTGCAGAAAACCGCATCTCACAGCAGCAGCGCCGGCCCCGGCCAGGCCTCTCCCCAGGTGCCCTGTGCGGTCACCCAGCCATCGCATACCTCAGGGCAGATCGAGTGCCCGCCCAGCCCGGGCTCCGAGCTGCCCCCAGAGCCAGCCGCGGTGGCCACCAAGGCCTGCAGCTCCGCAATGCCAGAGACCCGACCCTTCCAGAGGCCAGCGCAGCCGCGAGAGACAGGGCTGGAGCCCTGCCCTTGTCCCGTGCAGCCCAGTGACGCCCAGGGAAACTCGGTGCTGGCGTCCACAGAGGGGCTGCGTTCAGGGTCCAGCTCCCAGCAGTATTCACAACACGACGAAACCAATGGTGCTTACTTCAGGCAGGGCTCAGTGTTCCCTAGGGATCCCATGACCACACCAGCTCTGCAGCAGCTGCTTCCCCTCCCTCCCCTTCCTTCTGTTCCACTCTTTTCCGATGGAAAAGCCTTGCTGCAGAATGCAGCTTCAGAAGATCCCCAGCAGTTCCCCAACCAAAGCAATGTCACTCTCCTGAGGGAAGTAAAAATAGAGGCGGGGCCCGAGGCTCCCCCTCCCCAGAGTTCCAGCCCAGCGCTGCTCACTACCTGTCCAGGCCCCAGGCTTCTGGAAGGGGCTCAGAGCGATGACGTCCCCCAGAATGGCACAGGCCTGACAGGGGCCAGGCCCGCCTGCACTGGGAGAGCAACACCAGACCAGGTGGACCCCCTCAAGCACAGCCCACCAGTCCTTGGTCTCGGGAGACAGGTGCAGGACCCCTGCCCACCACTGCTGGGACCCAAAGAGCCTGAGCTCCTGCAAGACCAGGACCAGCAACAGATTCGAGGTCTTGCGCCCCTTCCCCAGCACTATGTGAAACCAGAATGGATCGAGTTGAAGACCGGTCCCCTTCAAGCTGAATCCCAGCCAACATGCAAGGAGCCCTCATGCTCCATACTTCAGTATCAGCCCAAAGCTGCTCTGCTCATGACCTCCAGACCATACACTGGAAAGCCCATGCCCGGGGCACAGACGGGCCAGGCTCTCATCCCGCAGGCAGCGCTGCCACAGCAGTCCCAGGGGCCCCACAGCACCGGGAGGCAGGGGCAGCCGCAAAGTACGGTGGACCAGCAGCTCCAGCACCCACTCCCCTCCCGCCAGGGCCACGTCTCCAAGACCGATCCCTCGCCTGATGCCCACACACAGGCGCTGTGCGCCCCTCAATATCATTTCCAGCAAGTTGCAGATCCCCCAGCGGAGCAACTCTCATCCCCGTTGTTAAAACAGCACTTGAATCTGGCTTCAGAGCTGGAGCCTTTTCCAGACTCACACGTTTTGCAACACCAGCCCTCTAAGCAGGCCGCACAAACACAACCACCCCAGAATTCACAATTCCCACCAAACCAGCAGCAGCAGAAGCAGCAGAAATTGCAAGTGAAGAATAAAGAACAAATGCCTCACACTTTTCCTCATCCCCAAGGCAACAGTGATCCACAAGGAGAAGGACAAGGACCATTCTTTGGCCATGTTAAAGTGGAAGAATGCTTTGGTGGGGAGAATCAGTATTCAAAAGCAAGCGAGTTCCAAACTCAGAGCACCCAAGCAGGATTGGAGCATGGACAGAATGTGAGCAGTCGGAATTCCCTCTATGGCCAGATCTTGAAATCAAATGCAAGCAAGACCCAGATTTCCTGTTCAAACAACACACATGTAGTTCTGGAGAATAAAGAACAAGAAATTTGTCCCGAACTCTCTGCAAGAAATAAGACCCAGAACCTGGCCTGTCCTCCAAACAGCACGCCTCAGAGGGCAGGCATCCTGCACGGGTGCTTCCATGAGCAAGAGCCAGAGCAGCTGCAGGTGGCAGCTCTGCAGGGCTACACGAGCCGAAACCAAGACATGTCCACACAGCAGGCTGCACCTGCACAGCTGGTGCAGCAGAGCTACTCGGCACCCAGCCAAGCCCAGGCTTTCCCTGCGCTCAAGCAGGGACAAGGTCACACGCATGCCCCTCCCCAGAGGGACACCCAGAAGCACGCGGCGCTGAGGTGGTACCTCCTACACAGGCAGGGACAGCAGCAGGCCAAGCAGCCCCTCGCAGAGCCTTGCCTCGGCCCCATGAACAGGCCGATTAAGCTAGAACCCGGGTCCACACTCCATGCCTGTGCGCGCCCTGGGTCCGAGCAGCAAGACTCCAAAACCTGGAAGAAGCCAACCAAGCAAGAGGCTCCTGCCCTTGGCTGTGACCTCGTGCAGCCCAGGAGCATCCTCGAGACCATGGAGCAGCACCTGAAGCAGGTTCAGGTCAAATCCTTGTTTGACCACAAAGCTCTCGCCCTGCAGCCACAGAAACAAGTGAAAGTAGAGGTGTCGGGGGCCCTCACCATGCTGTCCAGGCAACTGAGTGCTGCAGAGCTCGCTGGCCTTGTTGCCATGGCACCCCCCTCCGAAAAGACACCCACCAAAAGAACAGCTGGCCCTGTTCTCAGTAGTTTTATAGAGTCACCTTCCATATTACTAGATACCCCGATGAAGAATCTACTGGACATACCCATCAAAACTCAGTATGATTTCCCGTCCTGCCACTGCGTAGGTAAGACCAGAAACAGACCAAAGCACACAGTGCTTACCCGGAATTAGCAGATTTGTCTTCAGATACGGGACTTTTTTCTTTTCCTTTTTTAAAAAATGCTGAGTCTGGGAGCAATTAGTAAAGGCTCATAAAACTCTGAAGCTTACATTTTTGTCTTTGAATTGCAGATTAGTGTGTAGTGTGAGAGAAAGACCTCACTTTAGTGCAGTTTTCCCCAAAACTTAAAACAATTGTGCGGGTTCACCCCCACCCCCATTTAAGATCCTGTAAAATACAAATGCATCTGTTTTAGGTAATCCCTCTGTTTTATCTCCAGGACAGACATACAGCTGAGAGAACAAAGGAAAACTCAGTAAACATTTAAAAGTTAGGGCCGGGGATTTAGCTCAGTGGTGCTGCCGCCTGCCACGCAAGCGCAAGGTCCCGAGTTCGATCCCCGGTACCAAAAACAAAAAAAATTTAAAAGTAACTGCCACATACAAACTAGTGGAGGAACTTTAAATTTTTTTTAATTTAAGCTTAAATATTAGCAGTTTTGCAAGATTTCTGGATAATGAGGAACTTATTTCTTGGCGAGCTGGAGAAATTCTAATACTGAGGCTCTGGGTGTTTTTCCCACTTGCACAGTTAAAACATGGTGATGCATACTAATTTTGATTTCATTTTCTCTAGAATTTCACCATTTTTTAATAAAAGTGGGACTTTTTAAACAATAGCTATTTGTTCAGATTGAGTCTGTGATGGGTCTGTGAGGACAAGGAAGCATTTCTGACCATAGATGCGGACCCTTGCTGACAGGGACCCACGTGGTACAGGACACTGGAAGGACGCCTGTCAGGCGGGAGGCTGGCCCCACCCCGTCCTCCCTCTACATGTCCTCCCTCTACCCATCATGGGGTGATGCAGGAAACACTTCCGCCTGCTGGTAAAAGTGCCACATGTGTCCTGAACACTAGTGGGGGTTCCGGCCAGGCCAGCCACCTCTGGTCCCCACCAAGCCCCTCCATCCCCAGTGCTCAGCTCACTGCTTCTCTCTTTTATTATGACACCACCAAACTGCTCTATAGCACAAAAACCTGGGTCTGGACTGAGTATTCTCTAAATGACCAGAAAAGGGCATCCTTGACAATAAACCTAGTAATAATGGGGGGGGGGGTGAGTGGACAGAAAACCATTTTTTAAAAATCTTTTTACATCCAAGTGGAAGGAAGACTTCTAGTTAGCTTTAATTTTTTTTTAATTTTTGGTTTAAAAAATCAAATCACATTACATATAATACATTCCAATTCCTTCACTAGTTTCTTCATTCAGTCCCACTTAATTGCTCTAAAGCAAATAATTTCTTATACCATATCTGAAATATAAATAATTTTTTTCCAGTGGCCATCAGGAACATACACTTAGTTTATCTGGCACATTTTTTAATAGATCCGCCCATTAATCTACTTATTTTAAAGAGAAAGTCACATAACGGCCCTTAATGTGGCACTGGGGGATAATCGTTGTGGATGTAGCCTTTATATTTAGTATCATTGAGGTCTAAAATAATAATCTTCTATTATCTCAACAGAGCAAATTATTGAAAAAGATGAAGGTCCCTTTTATACCCATCTAGGAGCAGGTCCTAATGTGGCAGCTATTAGAGAAATCATGGAAGAAAGGTAATTAATGCAAAGGCACAGGGCAGATTACCGTCTATCCTTTTGTACGTGTCAGACTCTCCCGGCCTCCCCGCACAACACAACAAACAGTTGTAAACCCAGGGATTGTGGCAGGCCCCGCTCCTCCGGGCGGCCAAACACATCACACTGCATTCCTGAGTCGGAATGTTGGGCAGGGCTAGTTTCCAGCTCGCTGGCACGGGCTGCCCGCTTTGAGACAGATGCCAGCAAACCCGGGCACGAGCAAGCATCAGCCACCAGCCCACCAGGCACGGGGTGCTCAGGGCATTCTGAGAGGAACCGGGTTCCCTCCCGTAGCACTGTGAATGGAAAGTGGCCAAGAGAAGTCCAGCCCTGGCTGCCGTTTCTGTGTCTTGTTTTATTGTCAATCCCAGGAGTGCAAGCTTTTGTGTGTACAACAGTTTACTTCAGCAAGACCCCAGGAGCCAGCTGACCAGTGCAGAACGCCTCTGCTAGAGCTGTGGCCGGCCCCGCCCCGAGAGCAGGGTGTGCATCCACTGTACCCACGCGGGCAGCGGGAGCACACGCAGATTCACTGTTGCTCTAGTTCCCAAGTATTTCTGAATTATCTTGTAGAAGGTCACTCAGGAACCACCCAGCTAGTACCCTGGTAGAAGTAGTGAATTTCTGTAATTGCACTTTTATTATTAGCAAGCAATACACAGCCTTTTTGTCACAAGGGGAAATAGCCTATTTCTGGATCTGTCATGTTTTCAGAGAGGCTGGATACTAATATTGACCCAGCACCTTTACAAAAATATGACAAGTCTTTCAAGAATGGCTCTAGCGAAAATCTATGATGATTCCTTAAGTTTTAAAACTGCTTAGTAAAGGACAGAAATAAAACAGCACATATTTTACCAGACTGTAGAAAACTAACTTAAATTTTGAACTTTGTGAAATTATGCATAAAGATAAACCTTCCCATTATTTTCACCCAATAAAGTTATAAACAGTTCATTACAATTTTCAGTATATTTTGATACTGAAGAAAAACAAGACTAAAAGACTATTATCCAGTTTGCTTGGCTTAGAACTGTTCTTTTTTAAAAAAATTAAACCATTCACTTCTCAGGATGTGGTCATAGAATAAAATTATGCTCAAATGTTCAAATAGTTTGGTTGGCTCCTGAGGTCGTTTGCTAATTGTCTGTGTGTTCTGTGGGTTTCTTTAAGGTTTGGACAGAAAGGTAAAGCTATTAGGATCGAGAAAGTCGTCTATACTGGTAAAGAAGGCAAAAGCTCTCAGGGATGTCCAATTGCCAAATGGGTAAGTGTGGCTTGAGCGCGTTTGGGCTTTCACCTGGGAATTCCGATTGACCCTTGTGTCCAAGCTCACAGCAGCTAGCAGGTGGGGGAGGTTGGCCATGTGCCTGTTAGGAAGGCAGATCCGTCTTCAGATCGCGAGTAGACTCTTCAGTTGGAAGATGTTAGTAATGAGACGAAGAAGGTTCATTCTCTGCTTAACACAGTGGACCCTTGACTTATGAACTGCATCAGCTCCCAAGGGCTGGTTGTAACTCAGGGTGGTTGTAAGTCAGCATAGCTGAGATCTGGACGCTACAGATAACAAGAGCCAGATGAATCTTCCATTAACCTAATGAACCCAAGTTGTTCATATGTATGTCAGGCTGGTCATAACTTGAGGGTCCACTGCAATTCTTGGAATATTAAGAAATAATCCTTTGTCCTCTATAAATGCCCTCAATGTTCTTGATGTCATTATGAAACCCATGAACTCAGCCCCTGCAGTCTTTATCTAGCTCTAGCTTGTTATTTTTTGGTGGTGGTGGTTTTTGGTTTTGTTTTTTGAGACAGGGTCTTGCTATGTAGTTCAGGAGCTCATTATGTACCCCAGGGTGAACTGGCCGCCCTCCTGTCTCAGCCTCCCGGCTGCTGGGGTCACAGGTGTGCAGCCCCACTCTAGCTGCAGCTCTGGCTTCGATGCAGGTGGATTGCTTTGAGGTGCAGCCTGCTCAGCCCCGAGAGAGGTGTGGAGCCCCCACCTCCTGCACCGGGCGGCCTGGTGTAGGCAGGAGTGCAGCCCCCAGTGACGCTGTCCTCGGGGCGGTGGGTGCGGGGTGGCGGCCCACAGGTGATCCGCAGGAGCTCACGCGAGGAGAAGCTGCTGTGCCTGGTGCGGGAGCGGAGGGGCCACACGTGCGAGGTGGCCGTGATCGTGGTGCTGATCCTGCTCTGGGAGGGGATCCCGCTGCCGCTGGCCAACAGGCTCTACACCGAGCTCACGAACACACTGTGCAGGAATGGCTCGCTCACCAACCGGCGCTGCGCCCTCAACGAGGAGTGAGTGACCCTGGGACCCCCTCTGGGCACAGGGAGGGGGTGGAGGAGCCTCAGACCCGAACATTCTCCTTCCTGCTTTGTCTTGAAATAACGTCCCACTGTGTAGTTAGTTGTGACTGGCTTGAACTCTTCAGCGATCCTCCTGCCTCAGCCTCCCGCTACTGGGATTCCAGGTGGGTGCTACCACTTCGAGGTGCTCTCTACATTTATGAAGTGGGGAGCAGAATGCTTACTTCACTGTCAGGCAGCTTCATGATTTGCTAGCATGAATACGTGGAGGTGGTTGCACTAAACAATGCTCTACACATTCGGGCAGTGTGACGATTGACACAATATTATCAAGACCACGGGGTTAGAGTCAGTAGGAGGACACATTTATTTGCTCAGGGCCCTTGCAATGGGCATTGCCACAAGCTGGGCAAACTGCTTTGCAGTTTGGTGGATGCAGAGTTAGACTAAAACTGCAAAGCTGAAAGTTGTTTCTGAACCAATTCTGAGCAAAATAACTAGTGACCACTTCAGTGTGGCCCCAGAATGCGGCTGTATGTCAGGGTTCTGCAGGGACAGCCTAGTAGAAGGAGAAGAGTAGTGAAGTCTCCTTCCAAGCAACAGCTTTGGCTTCCTGCTAAGTGTCAACGCAGGGGGGTGTGTGCTCTCGAGGTTTTGGGGAGCAAATCAGTGATCAGTAGTCTGAAAAGCTCTCTTCGTAACAAAGTGAAGCTGCCTTTCTGTGATACTGTGCCCCATGCTGTTACGTAATTGCAGCAACTAATTGGAAGGTGGACGTGGCCACTTTGTAACACCTGAACGGCTTCAGATGTGAAAGACTTTTCAATCAACCCTGCTCTCCTGGAAAAAGCAAGCGTAGGTGCCTTGAATCAGAAGATAAGAGCTCCAGCAACCTGGCTGTATTGGAAATAGCTTCTCCTTGGAATTTAGTAACAGTGCATGATTGACTGGTTGATTTAAATTTGTTGCTTTGGTGCTGGGAAATTGAAAACTGCAGTCCTTATGCATGCTAGGTAAACCTCTGTCACTGAGTCAGACCCTAGCCCCTACCGTGTATCTGTTCATTGCGAACCACCCATGTTTTAAAAGCAGAATTCTTACTCCTGATGGCTTGAAGTTGTAACTCACTGAGGAACTTCTTACAGAAATGACATTATGGTTTTGTTTAAATTTCTTGAAGATTTCCCATAAACTTTCACATTTGTTGTTCAAGGGCTTGTCTGGTTTTTTTTTTGGTACCGGGGATCGAACTCGGGACCTTGCACTGGCGAGGCAGGTGGCGGAACTACTGAGCTAAATCCCTGGCCCTGTTATTCAAGGTTTTTATGTATCTGTGATATTTTTCTCCTTAAGATTTTTCCTTAATTTCCTGTAATTACCTTTACTTGAAGGAGAATCTTACATAGACAAAGAATTTTATGTGAAGAACTTCCCTAAACTGTTAACTAGGATTTACAAACCATGAGTAAGGATTGGCCCAGTGTCACAGGAAGTTGTGATCAGCTTAAGTGACCTGAATAAGTGGCCAGGACAGAACCTGTCTGGGGTGCACTGTCCAGGGCACACTGCAGTGTAAGACATCAGAATGTCCACTTTTATTTTGTCTGGAGTTTCCCAGCAAAGAGGTGTAATCATTCAGGTGACGTGGAAGCTGAGGTTTCTGTACACTCGAAGCAATCCCCCCAAATTAGAAATAGTTAAAACTGAAGCAATGTGTGATTAAAATAGAACTTTGGCCAATAGCAGAAGGGACTCCAACTAGAGCTAGAGTCTTTGACGTTTCTCCCCGGAAGCGTCATTCTTCCCAGGGATGAGCCAGCCTCAGCCTGGGGCTGCTGACCCCACCTTGTGCTCAGAGCTGAACGACCAGGCTGCATCTGCCACCGCGAGCCCGGGAGGGAGAGCTCGGAGTGTCTTGCATGGATGCCAGCAACTGATTTTTACATCTCCTTTGGACTAAACCAACTGTTGCTCCTTTCCCACTTATGACTCAGCCTAATCATTTAGGGGACAATAAGAGTTGCAGGCGCTCATCTCATCAGGAGGGAGCCAAAGCCAGAAAGCTTCTGCTGCAGTTGCTGCTGTTCAGCAGCTGCAGAAATTTTATATCACGAAATCTTCCAAACACATCTGTGAGGAAAAATAAAATAGAATGAACCCCACAAACTCACTTGTCACATAGCTGGAAGTATTTCAATGAACCCAGGAAAGCTTTTCCAGGGTGCAGCTACAGCTTTTTCTTCTCTCTTTTCTCTTTTTTTTTTGGGGGGGGGGTCATCTTGCTAAGCTTCTCAGTCTCTCCTGCCTCAGCCTCCCATGTAGCTGGGAATACAGGCATGTGCTACCATTCCTGACTTCTCTTTTTCCAGTCCCTACCCTAAGTAGTGTTTTAAAGAGAAACAAAGACCACAGCATCTCACCTGTAAGCCCTTGTGTCTCTAATAGACAGTGAATTTTTAAAACACAACCTAGGCACAAGTTCTTTGGATATTGATAATTCTTTAATATCTGACAATGTTCAGACTATATAATATTTGCACTATGTTCAAAATGTGTCACTTAGGTGAGACCAATAGTCCCGTTAAACATACAGGAAAAGACCTGTGAAAAGTGCCCTCACCTTGCCTCGATGGAGGCATAAATGCTAAATGTTACATGTAAAACGCAGCTCTCTCCTCTCCAGAGAGTATCACAGTTTGGAAAATAAATCATAATTCACCAGCTCCTTTTTCTTTGTAATAATTCCCTCTCTTTTTAGGAATTTGTTAGTGGCCCTACGATTTTCTCTGTAAAACATCCCATGTTCTGGATTGAGCTGATTCCATTCTTATTTTAACCTATTCTTTTATCTGTCACCAACCTCAGGGGTACATTTGCAGTTAGAAACTTAAATAGTATGTGTGCATATGGATTTCGAGAATGCTCGTGCTGGTGCTGACATCTCATTTCCTCACATCCATCCGAAGGCACACAGTGCCTCTAGCTTCGGGGGTACTGATGTTTCTGCATGCAGGGCTCCCCATCAAGCTCCACCGACCACTGATGATTACCACCTGTTTCCATTGTTTCGTTAGTTTGCACATTGATAGGCCTTTTGATGTTGGGTGAATTTATTCTCTTACGTTTTCTACGCTGCATACATTTGAGTAGCCGGTCTTATTTTCACTCAAAATATTTTACAAGTGAGAAGTTCAAATGGAATTCAAAAGGCTAAGAATGTCTTAAAAGTCTGTTACATAGATGATCGTTTTTATTGTATTTGCTCTACTAAGTCATAATTTAACTATGAGTGAAATTCCAAGTCCTGTTAAAGTGACTGTCATGCTAATATTAATAATTCAATGACTCCTTTCAGTAGACACTTCATGTTCATTGTATAGCGTATGGTTGAGCATTTGACTCTTATGTATATTATTTGTCTTATGTCTTGCCAACTTGCTGTCATTTTGTTAACAAATGTTTTTGGTTGATTCTTTACCAAAGATCACATAATCTAAAAGGACTAAATTGTTGCGATTTCTTCCTTTCTAGTTAGGGTTCCTGTGTTTCCTTTTCTTGCCTAATTACCCTAATTAGGACCTCAAAAATATATGAAAAGAATTACCAAGAGCAAACCTTGTTCCAATCATTTTAGGAAGAAATTTTCAGCTTCATGCTGTTAAGTATACTATTTAGTTTTCCTTTAGATTTCTATCAAGGTCAGAAGTTCCTTTCTATTGCTAGTTTATTGATTATTGTCATCATAAAAGGTGTTGGATTTGTTTTAAATATTATGTCTGCATCTAATGAAATGAGGCAGGTTTCTCCACTCTGTTAGTATAGTGCACAGACTAATTTTGTCCATTAGACCATCATTACATTTCTGGGATAGAGCTCACTGTCCACAATGTGTACCTCCTTTTATATGTTGCTGGATTCAGTTTGTGAGCATTTTCTTGGGGAATTTGATGTTTGTGATAAGGCACAATGCCCTATAGTTCCTTGTGGTATCTGTGGTTTCAGTGAGAGGATGGTGTTAGCCTCATGGGATACATTGGGAGATTTCCCTTCTGAGTTTTCCGGAAGAATTTGTTGTTAATTTTTCTCTAAATATTTGATAGAACTCATTCATCAGAGTCATCCATTCTGAGATTTTTCTTGTGGAAAAACAAGCAAACATGTCTAATAAACCTTTAAAAGACATGGGCAGGGGATATAGCTCAGTGGCACCATGCCTGCCTTGCAAGTGAAAGGTCCTGAGTCTGATCCCTGCAACCAAAAAACAAAGAAACAAAAACAAAAACAAGCTTCTCCATTTCTTGGTTGCTCGTTTTTTAAATAGAGATGAAAGTATTCCATTACCTGCATGTACAGCCCTTGTCTGGATGTTCTACCCTTTATCTTATCTGAAGAACATTTGAATTCCTTCCAAGTTTAGGCAATTATGAGTAAAGTTCTTTTCGGTTTTTTTGGTACCAGGGATCGAACTCAGAACCTTGTGCTTGCGAGGCAGGCAGCAGAACCACTGAGCTAAATCCCCAGCTATGAGTAAAGTTCTTACAAATATCAGTACTCAGGTTTTCACATGGACCTAAGTTTTGAGATCCTTTGTTTTTTGGGGGGTTTTTTGGGGGGGAACTCGGGACCTTGTATTTGCAAGGCAGTCAGATCCTTTGAATACCAACCCTGACTGCTACATGGAGCATGCTTAATTTAAGAAAAACCTTCTTCCAAGTGACTGCCACCTTTTCCCGACAGCAAGGAATGGGCAGCGTTCCCATTGCCCCACATCCCCACCACCGTTGGTGTTGTCACTGTGGATTGTGGCCAATTTAAAGCTGATATTTCAATGCTGCCTTAGTTTGCCTTTACGTGAAGACATAGATGTGGAACATTTATTCATGAGCTTAATTCTCATCTTGTGTATGTTCTTCCATGAGGTATCTATTGAGGTCTTAGGTCCATTTTTAAAATCATGTTGTTTCTTTTCATATTGTTTGATTTTAAGTATA